CCTGGTTACTTGTGCCTGCATCATAAAACAATGCAGGCCAAATGGCATCAGTACATTGAATGTACGAGTATGCGAGGGGAATACTAACATAACATAAGCTTGAAACGAATCTGAAAGAAACACTTATCTTGGCTTTACTTAATTCATGAATAACTTAACTCAAATGTAAAGTACACAACAACAATAGGATGTAGTTATACAAATAATTTAAAATAGTAGGTAGAAATTCAATTTGTTAAAGAAATGCAATAACAACTCAATTTACTTATATAATAAAGTAATATAATTAATGTGGGAGTTTCTCTAACCGACAACCACCACTATGAGCCTAAGTGGTAATACGTCTTGCCCACGGTGCCAGAACTGTCCTATACTTTGCCATCATATAGAACACCTTAACTAAGTGGATCCACTAGTATATGCTAAAAAGCACTAAGGAATCATCTAAAACATTTTCATTTTCTACCCATGATGGCTACATGGTTTATGGAGACTTGAATTATTATAAACTCGCATCCCCATATCGGTGCTCAATACTACTCCCAAAATATACTCATATCATATGTTTTTAAAACAAATACTCTTTCTTTGGTTTGAGATAATTACTCAAAACTTAGTTTAAAAACTCTCTTGGAAAGCGGTGTTTCCTTTCTTGCTCAAATATGAAAACATTTTAACTGTTGGGAATACTTAGTTCCCGTATAATCTTTGAAGAAATGAACTTTACTCTTACTCTTTACTCAACTCAAATCTTAAGTCTTAAAACAAAGTTAAAACGTTTGTAAAAGACTTTTGGAAAACTCTATAAACTTCTCTTGACTTGATTCTTAACTTCTTAACTTTCCTTGAATTGAATTATGGATTCAAGGTTCGTGATCTCATGTTTATGGATGATTTCATGATGTTTAGACGTACCTTATAGTCTTGGAATCAACTAGGAAACATAGTTACGTTGCTAAGGAACTAATACAGAAAGAAGGGGGAAGAATGAGAAGAATTGACGTCCCTGGCGCTCTGAGATGAGCGGGGCGCCAGAGGGTGAAATTATGGGGGAGGGTTGGGGCGCTCTAACTGGCGCAGGCCAGAGCCCAAACTTCAAAGCCCCTTTTGGGGAGCTCTGGCTGGGGCAGCGCCTCAGACCCCTGCCCAGGTGCACTCCGACTTTTCTTGCTCATTTTTCAACTCTAAACCCCCTATTTCAACTTGGATTTCCCCCCAAAAACTTAGAATTGACTATATCCTCAATATACATAAGATTCTACTCGAAATCACACCTAATTGCATGAATCAAACTCAAGAAACTTCAACAACAAGAACCCACAAGATTTCCAACTAATTTCATCAAGAACTCATAAGATTTGCTTTCAAAACAATACAACTTCGTTGAATTGAATCATGATTGGCGCGGGGGTGAACTAACCCAACACTATGTGATCTCACATAACTCATAGGGATCACCCGTTGACGAAATCCACGACCTTAGCTTCAAGATTTGGTGATTTCCTTGCTTCTTCTCCTCTTTTTTTCTCTTCTCTCAAAACCCTAACTTAGTTTTCAAAAGCATAAACTGACAAAGTTCAGTTTAGACCCCAATTAAACTCCTAAAAATGAAATAAAACAATTGGGTAAGGAAAAGACTAAACTACCCTTCGAAAATCCGAATTACACTTTCCTTATTTGAACAGCCCAACTTCAAATAGGCATATCTCACTCATACGAACTCGGAATCGCGCAAACTTGGCGGTGTTAAAAAGAAAATTCCAATATATTTCCTACGGTATCTGGAAGCACACCTAAATATTTCTGAGTTATGAGTTATGATCGTTTGAAGTTGATCAAAAACTCAAATTTAACTTAACTTAACAAATTTCTAAATTTTCATTCTTTCCATAAATGATTCTTTCTAGTTACGAGGTGTTACATATGAGAATTTCACTAGTGGGTTACTTTCATCCACTTGCTCATACCTAGGGTTTCTAAAACCTTGGAGTTTTGTGGTGATTTAGCTGTTGCAGTATCCTTAATCGAAAAAAAACATGTTTTCTTGGAAAGTTTGCTTAATTCCTTGTATGAAACTCAGAACCCTAGTTTGTATAGATTCTATTAATTCATGAATTACACTTGCTAGGTCATTTAAACAGATAATCATGCTCCAGATTTTGAATGTCACGTTATCAGTATATAAATGTTGCATTCTCAGATTTGCATGTCAGTATTTTTAGTTATTCAATATTTCAGTCACATTTCAGTCATATACATATTCAGTTGGGAGTAGACTAAGCACCGAGTTGGACTAGGGTTTAGCGTACCCTCATAGTTCCAAAATTATGTGCCCCCATAGAAGTATAGGTCCCCTATATTGGGCAATCAAATTTAGTGATCACGCCAATCATGTTTTTATACCCCTGGTAAGGTATATTGGGTCCTCTCGATGGGGCGTATACATCGGACTCCACATTTAGCTCACGTGGTTTTATGTCGGTTAATAGTAGCTCCGATAGTCAGACTCTCAGTGCATTTGACCAGGTTTTCAGTATATACTTTAGCATTCAGTTCAACATGTTATTTTCATTATTAGTACTTGGTCATTGCATACAGTTTAGCTTTTCAGTTATGTTTCAGTATTTACATTTTGCTCAATTATGCTTTGTTCAGCTTATATATATTTGTTTAGCTTAGTATCTATATCCTGCATGCTCAGTACATTCCAAGTACTGACGCATACTCTGCGCTACATCCTTTCATGATGTCGGTTCAATACTCAGCAGCCAGATCACGCTTAGATCAATTTTTGGTCCGCATTCAGCAGCTTCAGTGGTGAGTTATTATATTCCAAGGATAATAGACATGCTTTCATTTTAGTCTTTACTTTCAATTTTCAGTTTTGTTAGAGTTAGTTGGGGGCATGTCCCAACAACTCAACTCAGTTAGAGACTTTTCAGACATAGTAGTAGAATTAGCTTGAACTGTTAGGTTTATCTTTCAATTGTTATTAAACTCATAGTACGGTTTATACATTAAGACTAGTTGGGGTTTCCCATTTTCCAGTTATCTATTATTTTAGCTTTCATATATTATATGTCTTATTCAGTTATTCTTAGTATGCTTGATATATGTCAGACACAGTGTTAGCTTAGGGTCACTCGTGATCCTAGGTCCTGTGTTATGTCAAGGGGTAGCCTCGAGGCATGACCATCTCTCTACCAGAGCATTAGGTTCAAGAGTTCTAGTATGTCTCAAAGCCTCAATAAGCAGAGTCTTTTTCATGAGTGCAAAGTGCTCTACATCTATGAGAGGGAGGTTACGAAATGTTTTAAGAAAAACATCACTTTCTTTGTTATGCTTATCGTGTGTGGGTATGATCCAACTTCTCATTTATAATCCGTCATTATGCGTTCCAGATCATGCCATTTCATAGAGCTAACACACGGAATGCTAATGCACACAATGCTAACGCAATTCCTCCAGTCCCGAACAATGAGGTTACGAATGCAGAATTTTGGTATTTGATCCAGCACTTGACTCAGAGTGTGGTCAATCAGAATAATCAGCAGGTCCAATTCCTACTAACACAAATAGTGGATCAGTTGCAGCTAGGGTTCGAGACTTCGTTCGGATGAATCCGCCTAAGTTTCTAGGGTCGAAGGTTGGTGAGGACCCACATAACTTTATTGATGAGGTTAAGAAAATTCTTGGAGTAATGCAAGTGACTGGAACTGAGAGTGTTGAGTTGGCATCCTACCAACTTAAGGATGTGGCTCGTATTTGGTTCACTAAGTGGAAAGATAACAGAGGTGCAGATGCAGCTCCTGTGACTTGGGATTTTTTACTGGGGCTTTCCTAGACAGGTTCTTCCCAAGGGAATGGAGAGAAGCTAAGGCACAAGAGTTTATGAACTTAAAGCAAGGTTCTATGTCGGTCCAAAAGTACGAGTTGAAGTTCACCTAGCTCTCCAGGTATGCTCCACACATGTTGCTGATCCAAGGGCACAAATGAGTAAATTCGTGTTTGGGGTATTCGATCTGGTGAAGACTGAGTGCAGGAATGCTATGCTTCTAGGGGATATGGATATCTCCAGACTAATGACTCATTGTCAACAGGTTGAGGGAGATAAGCTTAGGGAATTAACTAAGGACAGCAAAAAGGCCAGAACAGGAAATTATGAGTACTCACAGCAAAAGTCAGACGATGAAAATCGCTCGCAATTTCACCAGAGGGCTACAGCCCAAGTACTTCATCAGCTAGTGCTCCATCCCCCAGGTTTTGACAAGATCAGAAAGGTAGGGCATCAGGATCTAAGTCTCAAGGGAGTGCTTCAGGTAACAAGACTTACTCAACTTGTCCAAAGTGTGGTAAGAACCATCCGGGAGAGTGTCTTGCAGTCAAGGAATGGTGCTTTGGGTTTGGTCACTCTGGCCATAGGTTAAAGGATTTCCCTTCTGCCAGACAGGGGCAAGGAGGTAACAACAATAGGGTTCAATCTAGAGCTCCAGCAGGTTGCCTAACTCAGCAGGGTGCTTCGTCTGGTGCAGGTGACATTATTTGTCGTATTATGTTTAGAATATAGTTGATCAATTATAATTAAATAATAAAAATACATATCAAAGTAAATATTTTATATTCATTAATTTGGTGTAAATACACTTAAAAAGAATTTCCCTAAAAGAAACTATTAGTCAAACTATAATTGTAGTTTAAATGGTTAGTTTGAATGTTATTATGTTTTTTCCTAAAATAACTGCTAGTCAAACTTCAGTATTACTACGATACAATCCCCTCTAATCAAAACCACCAAACACAGCTTAAAGAAAAAAAAATCCCAAGATTTAGCTATATGATACATTGTAATATATAATGGCCTATTAACTTGGTCACTCCTATCCCTTCTGTCCCCACCTCTAATATACATATATCCCTCTCTTCCTAAAGTTTTTATCAAGTAAACACAAGACCCCATTCTCCCATTTCTAATATATCATTGGTTTTATTCAATGGAAATAATGAAGAAAACGAGTATGATCAAGCGTCGATGGAATCCTGAAGAGGACGAGCTATTGCATAAGCTAGTAAAGGAACATGGAGCAGAGAACTGGTCTCTTATTAGCCAATTGATTTCGAGTAGATCTGGAAAATCATGTAGGTTCTGGTGGTGTAATCAGTTTAATCCTCAAGTGGAGCATCGACCTTTTACTCTTGAAGAAGATAATACTATTATCAGAGCTCATGCCAAATTGGGTAACCGATGGGCTAAGATAGCCCATTTGTTACCAGGTCGAACAGATAATGCAATAAAAAATCATTGGAATACCACCCTTAAACGGAAGCGCCCTTCGATGTCAGGAGATTTGACATTGGAAAATCCTCAACCTCCGTTGAAGAAATCATTCAGTATCGAGGCGGGTAAAAATTCAGGTAGTCTATATAGATCTGATCTGATCAATTTGGGCTTTGATAGGTTCCCTCAGTTGTGTCTATATCCGCACATTACCCCACCGAATTGAATTTTACCTCTTTTAGTATTTTCACCAGTAATACCCGGTCCATTAATATCGTTGAGTCCATATGGATCTGATTTAAGCAATTTCGGTTTATCTAGGTGCTCTCAGTTGAGCCTTTATCCGCCCATTGCCCCACTAGGTGAAATTTTGCCTATTTTATCTGTTTCACCAGTTATGCATGAACCATCAACATCTTTGAGTCTATGCTCATCTAATATGAACAATTTCGATTTATCTAGGTTACCTCAGTTGAGTCTTTATCCGCCCAATGCCTCACTAGGTGAAATTTTGACTCTTTCATCAGTTGAACCAGGAATACCCGATCCATCAACACATTTGAGTCTCTCTTTACCTGGATTCATATCTACCAAGGATTTGAATCTAGTGAATCGAATCGAGCAAATAGGTCAACTGGCACCTATATCGGTATGTAAACCCACTCCGTCAAATTTTATGGCCCAAATTTCAATAGCTCAAAGTGGAAATGTTGGTCACAAGTACAGAGAAAGAGTTGTTGAGTCAAGAATTTTTTATAGTTTGCGAGATATGATACGAAAAGAAGTTAAAAATTAAATGTATGAGCTTGAGATTGGACGTGATTCACTGAACACATAAGCAATAAGGGATGCTATTGTTAACAAAATTGCCGTTAGCAGAGATTGAGTAAATGTTGAATGAGGAAAAGGAAAAATTGAGATATCATAGTTATTATTTTCTTTAAACTTAAGTTGATGTTTTTATAGTATCTTATTAGAATTTTTTTACGAATGTAGGAAAAAATAAAGAGAAAATATATATATTCATAGAAGTGTATGGAAGCCCCAATCGCCCTCAACCTCAAAAAGTAGAAAGAAAATAGAATTGAATATGGATTTTCAATTATTATTTTTGATGAAATCAATCATATTTATAATATTGGAGGTGTTTTTATTAATATAGTTTTTCCTTTGATCCTTTTTATATTTAAATTTAACCATTAAAATAATCATTTTAAGTTTTTGATTAACTAATTGTTATATGAGGTGGTATCAAAAAAAATTAATAGGTGGTTTGTTTTTCTCGAGTGATAACCATTTTAAAATTGATGATGTTTTTTTATTTAGAAATAATTTGATTTTATAAATTTTGTCAGTATTTTACCATTAAATTGATTTGTACTCACACACTAGTGTTAATACCTAATTAAGTTTAATTAACTATATAAGATAAATAAAAATATATTGGATGACTTATTTTAATAAATAATTAAAAATACAATAAACATTAATTATAATAGACAAATGAGTGAGACTTATTTTACTAGGATGTTCAACTTGATTCTGAACGGCGTATAACTATTTTTTTTATGGAGAGATGGATGATCCGGAATTAACCACACTTTTTTTGGTCATGTCGTGCATTTTTTTATACCATATATCAAACATATAAGTCTCATATGATTTATGCATAATTTGGTGGAATTAATCATCATTGACAAAATATATTTTTTTACTATGATTTTTTATTTGAATCTTCATATGATTATTCTTGACATTTTTAAAGTTAATGGAAAGTATTACCCCACATATCAAAACTAACGAAGCTCGAGAAGTGGAAATTGTCAGTAGAGAAATGACGTCAAGCATGAGACATAAATTTTGCTAGTGACATACCTCGTAATACCCCATCTCATTTGAACTCACTCGAAAATCACAAAGTTTCATTATTATTTTAACAGATGCATTTCTGAATGTAATTCTATATGAAGAAGCATGAAAGATAATGATTATAATATACAATATTGAAGAACACGGTTGGTTGAATAATTTTATAATATTCAACGCATGTAGTCAACAAATTTTAATAATCATGTGCTTAGTGCTAGATGAAAAAAGACATCTCAAAGTACTAATCATGTACTAAATGGATTTGGACATTAAAGCACGGTAAAGCCCCAAAAGTTTCGAAGTCCATATCAAACCTTGAAAAGTTTAGAATTTTCTATGTTTTATGGACACCATCTAAGGTCCATAAAAGGAACCACGGACCATAGATAAGATCCATAGACCAACTTCAGAGAATTTAAGAATTTGGTATGAGAATTATGAGTATTGTTTCTGGGTCATAAAAGCTTTTATAGATCATAGACGAGGTTTGTAGATCAATTTTTAGAAACACGAAATCTACCCTGAGTTTTAAGGGCATGGTATATGGGTCATAGAATATTTTCAAATAGTGGTTTGGTCCGCTGATCAAAGTCCTGAAACTCATAAGTTAGCATGATTCTTAAGGATACATTTTATGGCTCGTAGATTAATCTATGGACCGTAGTGTGATGACCTAACCCAATCGTTATAAGTAGGCCAATAGTGAAGAGTTGGAGCAAGAAAACTTTTTGGGTAGTGGCTTAAATTTTTTTTGGCTAGGTCTTCCTTAGATGGAATATGGGCTAGGTGAGTTCTACGGCCATCTAGGAATGGATAGGGTGTAATGTTGATGTTTTGTTGAGATTTACTTGTATCCAAGGCATTAAGGAGTCTATAAGGGCTTTCAGAATCAAATTTGGTAGGTAGAACTCCTGAAATTGATATGGGCGTGGAAGGTATTTGTTGGAACATCAAGGGAATAGGTTGTGTTCTAAAAATTATTTTTTCGGACTTTTGAAGCTCTAATGTTCCATCGAGCCCACTATAGAGGGAGGGATCCCGCTATAGCGACGCTCAAACTACTATAGCGGGGCAAAAGGGGTTTCAGTGTAACAGCTGCCCATAAACCCCTATTTTCTGCGCTATGTTCTTAGACTTGGGACGGGCAACTTTGGGTTCTTTACACTTAATTTTTGATGGAAATCATCGGTAGAGGTAAGATTATTACTCCCAACCTTTAACATTGATTTTTAAGCCTTATAATCTAGGTTATTGAAGGTTTTGACATGATTCCATAGTGAAAAAGCCCTATGTTGGGGAAATTGATTATACACTGGCTTGGGGTTAGGATTGGGTTGTATTTTGGGAATTATTAGGCCATTGTTCGATTGAATGTTGTGTTTATTTGTTATGTTAGACCAAGAACAAGCTAAAGCTTCACAAATGGTTCAAGATTTGAGATCATACTTCTACAGTAGAAGTTTGGCGCCCAAGTAGGCTAGGTTTTCTTAATTGAGTAGTTAGATAAGTTTTCTATTACATGGTATTTTGTAGATTGACAGGAGGTTTCATGTCTAGGCCTTCAAGCAAGAAGTTTGGATAGTTAAAGGTTGTTGTTTATTGATGTTAAGATGGGAAAAGATAATGACTAGGGGTGGTTCTCTAGTTTATAATTATTAATCTTGAGTTTCCTTATTGGGGTGATTTGGTGTTAATTGTAAGGTCAAGTACTATGAAATTGATGGTTTATAGCCATTTCTAGGACTTGTGGTAATCGAGAAAACAAATGTGTGTTCATAAAAAAGGGTCTAGTGTTGGACTATTGGTATATGCATATAGGTGATGGTTGTGTATTTTTAGTTTATGTATGTATGCATGTCTACTACTTAGTAGTTTCATTTGTGCAATGCACGATAGAGAGACATATGAAATGACATCATGTAGATAATCTCATGCAATAAACTTATTATGTTGACTTGTGGTTTCCAAGTGGTATTATTCATTGTGCTATGTGATTGTGCATAATTATTTGTGATTGTTGGTTGGTTTGAGTACCACACTGGAACACTAACTATGAATGACTCGGGTACCACACTGGTATACTAGTGGTTTGGGTTCCATGAGAGGACTAGGTATATATTTATTATTCTATGAGAGGACCGAGAATTTACATTTGATATCATGTTAGACATGTTTCATACATTTGTTGATTCTAGGTACTTTTTGATTTCATGATATTGTGACTAGGAGTCTATGTGTTCATAATTATTGTTATATGTGATTGGCATGTGTTTATGGGTATTAGGGTTGTGCATATGAATCCAAGGTGAGGACTTGGAGTTTGGGCTATATTATACTTGTGGTTATAATTGTTTAAACTATTGCGTTGAATTTATAGGGACTCAATGCTTTAATTGCTTCTAAATAGTGTTTCTATTTATCATGATGTTATTGGTTTACTGAAATAATGGCTTTAAGTTAGACAGATGACTGGGGTTTAGTGTATGGTTAAGTGATGTGACTGGTCATGGTTGTTTAGTATTTTTTAGAACTTATTTGATAATAGGGATGTGAGTCAAGGGGGATGAGTTGGTATAAGGTGCTAGTTTTATGTATTGTTCCAAAAGGGACAGTAAGTTGGTTGGTAGGGCTAGTGATGGCCTTGTGTTCATGAATATTATGTGGTGGAAGGTTTAGGCTATGATTTGACATTAGTGGTGGTCTTGTATTCGGGAATATCTATGTGATAGCAGGGTTAGGTTATGATATGATATAAGAGTGACATCACAGGTAGGCTTGGGAAGCCTTAGAGAGATATCACAGGTAGGCTTGGGAAGTTTTAGGGTGACATCAAAGGTAGGCTTGGAAAGCCTTAAGGTGACATAAAAGGTAAGCTTAGGAAGCACCAGAGTTTATAGCATAATAAGGTAGGAGGGTGGGTTCAAATGTACTAGTTTATAGGTATTATACTTAGGATAGTGAAAGCATGTTGATAGATACTTGGGTAGGTGTAACTTTCATATTGCATAACTTTTATTTTTATATTCATTATATTATATAGTAGGTTTGGGTCGACCGATGATGTCTACCAGTACGTGTTGATTGTACTGATACTACTCTTACTATGTCACATAACATAGTCTGGTTGCAGGAATTCAGTTTATGTTTCATAGGTGATTATGATGATGATCTCCGACAGCTTCTACTCATATTTCCTTATAGTGAGATCTAGTCTTATTTCTTTTATAATAGTACTCTTATAAGCTTTTGTACCTATTTAGACTAAATCCTTAACGGTGTTAGTATGTTTCCTTGTTAAATCGCTTGGAGGTTCAAATCAATTTATGGTAATTTCATAATCATATAGGGTGTAAGATG